CTACTGAACTATGTTTATCATCAGCACCAGCTTTTCCCTAACCCAGCCTTCAATAATCATCAACCACAGCTAATGGTCAGGAATGCTGGGAGTGGTGGTTCAAAATCTGTGGTTGATACCTAGTTGGGGAAGGTGGATCTCTCTGAAACCACACACAGGTAGCAACACATGATTTGTCAGCATGGGTTCTCAGCTTCCTTCCCTAACCTTGTGAGGTTAGGTTGGTGGTCACTTCCAACACAGGGTGACCAGAGGTCCTCACTGGAAAAGAAGCCAAGGCACCCCAACGAAGGACACTCAAAAAAATTGAGCCCAAATAAAAGCTAAAGTCTTGCCCAAAAATGGAAGTCATTATGGAATTCCTCCTGGGCAGAAGGTTGAAATGTAGGGAATGTCCTGGAAAAGGACCATGTCTGGTCACCCTAATCTAACAGGACTTTCTTGGTAGCATCTCATACATACATACAAATATGTTTATTCGGTCAATGACCAAAGCATAATACATAAGTGCGATAATGAACTTCAATTGACACACAATACAATAAAATAAGGTAAGATAATATGAAAACACACTATCCTGTAATTTTATAAATTTTATGATTACATGAAAGCAAAATATGCTAACATCCTTCGTACAAATAGCAAAGAAGTAACGGCAGTATTTTAGGAATCGTAGCAACTCAACTATGGATCTCCCTACCCAAGGAAGTTAGGTTGGCCCCAAAAGGTTAAAAAAATGCTGTTCCATATGACATTCAATGGTTGAAGTTGCTCTGACTTCACTGTTTTCAGAACTGGATTCTAGGGTTGCTCTGACACAAACATTTCAACCTCAATATGGTGGCATACCCATTCTCTATGTCCATAAAGCAAACATGGTTGGTGCTCTTCTCTCCTGTCCCTCTACACAGGATGGACAACTGTGTGGCAATGGGGGTCCCAATTTCGTACCCCAACACCCCCTGCACTCTTACACAAGAGCACCAAAATACTTCGTTTTCCCATTTTTTCCTTCAAAATGGAGGCTGGAAGTGGCGTGATGTCACTTCCTGTTGCCATTTTGAGAAGGAAAGCAAGGTTTTTATAAAGAGGTGATGGTGGTGACGTGAGATTTTTTTCCCCATATTTGCAGGCATGGTGAGCTTCACCTGATAATCATGCCAATTTTGCTTCAAAATGGGGGTTCAGGGGGCTTTGGTGGTCTGGGTTGGGGAGCCTATCATTGGGTTTTCTTGGCAAGATTTGTTCAGAGGTTTGTCACTGCCTTCCAATGAGGCTGAGAGAGTGTGACTTGCCTATGGTCACTCACTGAGTTTCCATGGTCAAGCCAGGATTTGAACCCTGGTCTCTAGAGTCTTAGTCCAATGCTCAACCCACTACGCCATGCTGGCTCTCAGGAGATAATGCTAACTAGTAAATTGAACAGAAGGTCCCAACATTTTTTCAGAAACTGTACATCATGAAGACCAAAAGTGAGACAATTCAAAGCTGGTCAATCTTTTCCTGCTCTCTGTCATAGTGGTAATATATGACTAACCATTCTTTTTATAGCAACACCACCCCATCATTAAGGTTGGCACATGACAACATCAACCACAAGGGTTTTATACACATACCGGTTGGAATAAAAACAAGAGTTTATCTGTTTGAAAAATGGACAAGTATTACCTTAGGAATCCAGGGGGGTACATTCTTGATTAAGACTTCAACATATCATTCATCATCACCACTTTGGAATGCACAAACCACTCAACTAGAAGCTCACCGGACCATAAATAATATAGGCGATAAAACTCCTCTGGATTATGGCACCGGCATCACTTTTCGAAAGTGTGCATTTTTAAGGAGTTAGACAAGTACCGTTCCCTAATAAAGGGTTTGAACAGTTCCTAAAACAGCATAGGTTGGAACTTGGTAATGTTAAGTTTTCAGTACGCAGAAGGAAATGTAGACCAAAAACCCACCACTTGCGGCTTAATGATACCTTGGGCTGCTCAGACTCTTCAAACCACAACAGACTAAATTACAGCCTGAAATATTTCGTTTGCAAACATGGGAGAAAGGTTCACATGCAGGCAACTGCTAGCTCAACACCTCTAACTCCGTGCCAAAAAGTCCTATTCATTTTTACCGGTTCATATACCTGACCTAGTCTTTGGAAATTTGCTTCTCCTCCATGTGCCATGAAGGCTTCCCTATGACTCATTTAAAAGCTATCAAGAAAGAGCAGAGCGTTTCAAAATAGGAGAAATTTAAAACAAACAAAATGCACCAAAGTGAATGTTCTGCACAAATCAAGTATTTACAAGAGCAGTAAACTCATGCTTTATGTAAGTCATTATCTAGAAACATCAATATCAATGTTTTTGCTCTTGCAACCAACAGCCTAAAATTAGATCCTTCATTTTATTGGGACTGGCAGCAATGAACAGCACCATAAACACTTTTCAGATTTAAAAAGTGTTCAGAATTTGAAGAAATATACCAATACAAGCATTAGCATCCAATCCATTAGATGCAAACAATGTCATCAAAAAATCCCGCTTCATTTTTATAGGCCCATTCCCATCATCTGCACAATGACACACAAATCTGGTTTTATCCTGGTAATTTTTACTAAAGTTCTATTTTTTAAGTTAGTCCATCTCTTCAATATATGCATAGAATCAAGATATTATCAGGAAATGGAGCCCTACAACAATAATGTACATCAGGGAAGACAAATTTATATATATTCTTTATCAGTATGGGGTCAGAAATACCATTTATTTATTTCCCACCCTGTAGCTAGAAAATCCAAGAGTACAGCACAGATTATTACAAACTTAAAACAATTCAACAAGATGATACTATGGAGAGAAATCCACAAGTCAGTTGGTCAGAATCAACTCATGGCCAGTGAACTCTCAAAGCTTGGGAGAATTTGATGCCAAAATATCTCCCATGTTTTAAAGAGACCAAACTGTATGCCACAATACCCTATTTAAACGTCCACATACTGAGTCTATCTGGTGTGGTAACATGATTTAAGAGCTTCTGGTTACTAAACCAATATTGCTTCTTTAAGTTAAAAAGCCAGAAAACTGGTTAACCTCAGATGTGTCAACTAAGGTCAGCCTTGAAAAGATCTGTACCTGTTACATCAAGAGTGGTCATCTGAAACAGGGGCCTGGACCCAATTTTCATTCCTAGGTTCCAACACCACTTCATTTTCAGCCAACAATCACAAACAGAAATAACTTCTGGTTGCAATTTCTGAGATCGCCAAAACACTTTTTGTCTTTTTGAGTGTTGGGGAGTTTTGAACAAATCCATCGCCGCTAAAAGCAATGATGTAGATGTGAGTCAATTTGATTTGGACTCAAATTGCTTCAAAGAGTCAACTTGGACTCACCAATAAATGGTGCACTGACTCAACTCAACATTTGTATCTTTTTAGTGACTGACTTGTTGGCCTAACTTTATCCATAAACATTATGGAATGGAAAACTTTGAATACCGTATTTTCCGGCGTATAAGACGACCCAGTGTATAAGACGACCCCCCATTTTTACCAGTCAAAATATAGTTTTAGCACCTCTATCCTCCTTATCCTTATACCTGGCGTATAAGACAACCCCCCACTTTAACCACAGATTTTGCAGGCTAAAAAGTAGTCTTATACGCAGGAAAATAAGGTAATAATAATATCTCCATCTCACTGCTTTTTACCTACTGGCCACATGGCAGAAGCGGCAATTTATGTTTGCCAAACAGGAAGCCCACACTTCCTATAGATCCCTGCATCAAGTCCATTGCCGAACGTGTTTGCTGTTCCCCTCCGAGAAATGCACCCTGCGCTATGGGGCCAAGTCTTGCCTGCTGCTCCTAGGAAAACCTTCAGAAGGCTTCCCAGATGTGTAGTGAGGACAGACTGCTGAATAGACCCATTTTTCTACAATGCAATCTCAATTTTAAACATTTTTAACCTAACTTTGCACATGTCTTCATGGCCTTCTATTTACTAAAACTCCATTCACACAGCCCACACACCCCACTACAACATCTTTTCCCCCCGTATGCATCTGAGGAAGTGGGCTCAAGTCTACAAAAGCTCATGCTACCAACTTCTTTGAGTTATAGCAACAGCAAGTACATTTCTATACCGCTTATCAGTGAACTAACACTTCCTAAGCGGTTTACAATGTGTTAGTCTCAAAGATGCTGCAAGATCACTTTACATACTGATATTCTAGACTAACATGGCTATATTGTTGGATTCTACCTTTTTCTCTGTTAGTTGGCTCTGACTCAACTTGAGACTTGGAGTAAAAGCCTTGAATACTAACCGACTGGAAGCCTCCAAGGGCTATTTTAGACATCCCTCCAAAGTAGAGAGGCAATGGGGCTGCTTGTAGGCCATGGTACTTTCTCTACTCTTATGTAATGTTAGTATGTAGAGAGATCTTGTAGTACCTTTGGTGCAACTTCTTTATTTCAGTTAGTCTCAAAGGTGCAACAAAATCTCTTTACATACTGATTCTACAGACTATATTGTGTGTCATGTTGTGTTGAGATGAATCCCATAAAGTAGGTTTCCCAGCTTGGAGACCATTATGAATAGAATCCAGAGAAAAGACAGGAAACAGAGCCACTGAGAACCTCAAAACGTACCCAAGAATATGTGCCATCCATCTAAAAAGGAAATAGCTCAACTATGATTTTGGGTGTTTATAGACACAAGCATGAAGTTGGAAAGGAAGGTTAAGCTTATAATACTGAAAACTTTAATTGTGGGTGTTGCCTATTTGGATGACAGAGGCAGGGGAATAGTGGTATTTTAGCCAGTACTAAAATTTCTTTGCAAGAAAAGCAAAGTTTGGAAGTCTCAGGTAATTCATTTTTAGCAGCTTCAGTAGAGTGCAATAGAAAATGAATTTCATCTGTATCTGGAGTGCCAATACACGCTTGGATAGTCACTATTACATCTACAAAAAAGCACTGGATAAGGATCCTAGCTTTTACAAAGATATGCCAATTTAAATACCTTGGGAAAATGATCTTTGATTTTCTAAATTGGCTTGT